AAGACTAATTGACAATTTTTTTTTTTTTTGGAGACAGAGTCTCACTTTGTTGCCCAGGCCTAGAGTGAGTGCCGTGGCATCAGCCTAGTCACAGCAACCTCAATCTCCTGGGCTCAAGCAATCCTCCTGCCTCAGCCTCCCGAGTAGCTGGGACTACAGGCATGCGCCACCATGCCCATCTAATTTTTTGTATATATATATTTTTAGTTGGTCAATTAACTTCTTTCTATTTTTGGTAGAGACAGGGTCTCGCTCAGGCTGCTTTCGAACTCCTGACCTTGAGCAATCCACCCGCCTCAGCCTCCCAGAGTGCTAGGATTACAGGCGTGAGCCACCGCGCCCGGCTGACAATTTTTTTTTTTTTTTTTTGAGACAAGGTCTGTCACCCAGGCTGGAATACAGTAGCATGATCATAGCTCACTGCAGCCTCCAACTCCTGGGCTCAGGTAATCCTCCTGCCTCAGCCTCCTGAGTAGCTGGGACTACAGGTGTGCATCACCATGCCTGGGTAATTTTTAAATTTTCTGTAGAGATGAGGTCTTGCTATGTTGCCCAGGCTATCTTGAACTCCTGGCCTCAAGCGATCCTCCTGCCCCTGTCTCCCAAATGCTGGGATTACAGGCATGAGCCACCAAGCTCAGCTGACAAATATTTTCTGAGCCACATGCTCTATGGCAGGCCATACTAGGTGCTGGGGACATATTACAGCAATAAAGAAAAACCTCTCCTTCCATGGGGCTTATATCCTAGTGATTCTTCCTAGTATAGTCAATATGGCAATTATCTTGTTCATTCTCCTAATATTTCTTTAACTAGCTGGTTATTTTACCAGCACTTATAAAGAAAAGAGTTGGATACAGCCTAACAGTAGGGTTAGTTTTTAAAAATTTATGGTTTATCCTTATAATATAAGCTATACTTCTGTTTCATGTACTGCCATAGAAAAATCGGCTAATGTTTTCTACATATTTTTATGTTGCTCAATTAATTTCTTTCTATTTTTAGTAGAGGCGGAGTCTTGCTCTTGCTGAGGTTGGTCTTGAATTCCTGACCTCAAGTAATCCTACCTCGATCTCCCAGAGTGCTAGCATTACAGGCGTGAGCCACCGCGCCCGGGCCCAAAATATCTTTATAGATAGAATTTTGACTTTGTTGAGCGACCTAGACTCTTGCTACTCACAGTGTGAGCCCAGCACCTGCAGCACTGGTGCCAGGGGAAGTTAGAAATGGCAGAGTCTCAGGCCCCTCCAGACTGACCGTGGCATACGGCATTTCTCCAGATGTGGCACAAGGCGATGTTCCTTCCCTCACACTCTGACAGTGTGACGTCAGGACTCCTTCCCTTAGGCGATGGGGTCCATCCCCTGCCCCTAGCCCTCAGCAGACCTTCACGGCTGCCCTGCCTGAAACGTCGCTGCGCGGCATCTGAGGCCAGGTCGGACACACGCCGCGCACTGGCCCTTGCTCTGCTGGGACGCGTGCTGGAGCCCAGCCGCCACACCGGAAGGAAGCCACGCACCCCCATCAGAGGACACCTGTGGGGTGTGGGGTCAAGAGCCCCACCTGGGGTCTCAGCCAACAATTGGCAACAGCCACCACACTTGAGTAGAGCCTTCAGATGGCTGCGGTTCCCAGCCACTCAGTTACCCTTAGTGCAGAGTTTCCCGCGCAGCCCGTGTGGGGCCAGCTGTCCCCGCCAAGCCGCGCCCCAACTGCAGGTTTGTGAGCAAACTGACCATTTCCTGAGCCGTCTCAGGCCTTAGCTTGGGAATATGTGTCATGCGGCACCATACATCCAGAACCCCTGCTAATCGTCACCTGCATTTCATCAAAGTCCCTCAGTAGTTCATGTGCACATTACAATGTGAGAAGCATGGATTTAAAATAAAATTGTGTAACATTTAATTTTCATACTGGCCTTTAGAACACTGATTGCAAATTATGAGATGCTGCACAATAAGTAAAAATCACATTTAGAGGAATGTGTTTCCAGAAAGCTGGATAACTGTTGCCTGTTACATGTGCTGTGTTCTCTTAGGTGTCAGGACTTGTCCAAATCTTCGGTCAGACTCCCATTTGGAGGGTATGTTTCCATGAGAGTGAGAGAAAACTGGCACAATAATTCAGGAGGCAAGCTAAGAGGTTTCAGAAGTTGACACTCCTGAAATATTATAAAGACAAAACTGAGGCAGTGTGACTATCTGGTAAGCTTGCTTGTATCAAAGCAGTAATCATTTTTAATGGCCGATGGTGCAAAGAAAACTTCTGAAAAGTTGTCGTGCTACCAAGATTAAATACAGACGAATTGTTAGAGCATGGCAACAAAGCTACAACTTATGTTGCTCTCTTGGGGTCAAGTTTTAAAAGTGAAGAGCTACAGGACTATGGTCTCATATTGCAAAATACAGGAGTAGCTTTCATACCTACTAGCTAGTATATGTGTGATTAATTAGTACTGTGCTTTAAGGTCTTTGTTCATTTTAGTTTAACATTTCCTTCACAGTATTCTAAATTCTAAATAAATTCAAATCACAAAAATCAAAGAATAACAATCATCGAATGTCACATCATATCAAACAACTGTATATCTGGGAACACCTAAAATTGAAAAATGATTAATTAATTGATTAATGTTTAATTAATGTGATGCATTTTCCCAGTTTCCAACCAGATGCTTGGCATCCTGTGGCCACAGCCAGGTCATTTAGCATTTCTTCCAAACCCTCTTAGACTCACCCAGGTTTGGACCACTCCTGCAAAGAATGTCTCCATAGCTGCTGTTACCTGAAGTGTCCCTTGCTTTATTTATTTGCCAGTTATTAAAAATAACTTATTAATAAGAGTTTTTGGTTGCAAACAGCAAAATAGATTCTGGATAAGCAGAGAAGGACTGACTGGCTGGTTAGTTCATGAGCTAACAGGGGCTCACGAACACTTTAGAAGGAGAAAGGTCAGTCTTGGGAAAGGGCAGGGAACAAGGAAGTCCCTGAGTCCAGAAGCTGTAAGCAGGGTCACAAAATCAGCCCCATGCACTTCCCTGCCGACAGTGCTGCCAGGACACTAGGGCCGTCCTCGGAAAAAGCCACCATTCTTGCAGTACCCAGAGCCTCTTGGCTTCCGCAAGTGAGAGGTGGATGTGAGATGGGTAGCCCAAATCGCCTTCCTCAGGAGGGAGGTTATTCCCCATACAAAACCAGGCCACTATAAGGAAGTGGGATGATGCCACACATCCGAAACTCTGTGTGTGTCTGCTATAGATAATACATAGGGTTTGTTTAAATTGTAAAGTAATGCGTGCATATTGTGAAAAGTGCATAGTATAGTCTTTCTATATATTTTTTCTAAAATTGAGATTATATTGTATATACCCTTCATAGCCAACTTTTTTTTCACCTAACAGTACACTGTGATCATTTTTCCATGTTATTAACTGTTCATCTGCAACGCAATTTTTAATGGTGAAGGCCGGGCGCTGTGGCTCACGCCTGTAATCCTAGCTCTTGGGAGGCCGAGGCGGGCGGATTGCTCAAGGTCAGGAGTTCAAAACCAGCCTGAGCAAGAGCGAGACCCCGTCTCTACTATAAATAGAAAGAAATCAATTGGCCAACTGATATATATATAAAAAATTAGCCGGGCATGGTGGCACATGCCTGTAGTCCCAGCTACCAGGGAGGCTGAGGCAGAAGGATCGCTGGAGCCCAGGAGTTTGAGGTTGCTGTGAGCTAGGCTGACGCCACGGCACTCACTCTAGCCTGGGCAACAAAGCGAGACTCTGTCTCAAAAAAAAAAAAAAAATTTTTTTAATGGTGGTACAGCATTTCTTCTATTTCTTTTCTGTATTTATTTTAAATCACTTACATGATTTCTATTAATATTTTACTTTTTACCAATGTAAATAATGCTGAGCTGGGTGTGGTGGCTCACGCTTGTAGTCCCAGCTGCTTAGGGGGCTGAGGTAGGAGGATCGCTTGAGACCAGGAATTTGAGGCCAGCAGGGCAACATTAGGGAGACCTGTCTCAACAAACCAACCAACCAAAAAAAAAAAACAAAGGTAAATAATGCTGAACTAAACATATACTTCTTCCTCCTCCTCTTCCTCTTCTTCCTTCCTCCCTCTTCTTTCCTCCTCCTCCTTCTCCTCCTCCTTTCTTCTTCTTCACCTTGGCCTCCAGCAGCCGCGGGCCCGGTGTGCTGGGCGGTCGAAGCGATCAGCGAGCGTGCCGGGCGTGGAGGCCGACGCGCCGCGCAGAGGATGGATCGCGCGGCCCTCGCGGCACCGTCAGCTTCCGCCAGTGTGGACACCACGCGCCAAAGCACGTCCCGCCACCACGCACCCCAAGAGCCTCACTTTAACCCTCGGGCTCAGCTGCCCCAACGAGGGGCTTGCCACGGGATCCCCCAAATAAATTCTTTGTACAACACACAGCTTGTGCTTTAATTCAGATAACCCCACGTATACTTCCAAATTTGGTGAAAACATGCGCGTCCACTTTCCCATGATGCAGCAGCAGACAGAAATTCAATTTTTAGAATAAGGATTTTGGTTTTTTTATTATTCAGACAAGCCTCATTTTTTAATTTAGCTTTGTGGCTTTGTGTTTGGGCCTTCAACACTTTCCCGTGATTTTCTGTTCTCAACATCGAAAGCGCAGTGGGTCTTGTCGCCGCTCGCGTGGCGCCCGCGGAGCGCGGCCTGGCGGCCTGGCGGGCGGCCTGCGCCCCGGCCGGAGCGCCCCAGGCTCGGCGGGCTGACGACGCCTCTCACACTCCTCAGAACAGGAAAACAAACAGAAACTTAATTTTATTTGAAGAGATTGAAAAGAACTCTATGTTAAAACCGTTAACCCTAATCCTTTGTTCTATATTTTTCGAATATCTTCTGTTACTTTCACTTGCCTTTAATTCTATTTATGTTTTTTTTAACCTGCAGATGTTTTTACCTTTTTTGTAGTAAGATGTATCAGTCTTCCCCTTTATGGTTTCTCTTGTTGCCGTTGTGCATGAAGGTCTTTTCTACTGTCAGCTAATGCCCACGGGCAGCAACCCGCCTCTGTGGAGCGCGCTGGGCGGACGCAAAGCCCGGCCTTCCGCTGCGAAGCACGGCGGCCCGTGTCCCGCGGTGACGCCAGATGGACTTTGAACTGCTCGGGGGTGATCTGAACCGCTCAGGCCACGGGTGTCAAGGTGCTTGTTTCTGGGAGAAAAAATGGGAGCATCAATTCTGCTTCTCCAGGACCTACAGGCTGTCACCATGCTCTCTGCAAAACACCAACTCAAATCAATGCGGGGTCCCGTGGGGTCAATACTGCAGGTTTTACCTAGACCGCCAGGTAATAAGGACATGTGTTTGTACTGTATACGAACATGTGTATATTCATTCATTTTGTCTTCCTCCCAAGGTTTCAATGGACTGAACAAAAACTAGCTTCAAAACAGTCCTCTACAGCAGTAGAAAATTATCTACGGATGAAAAAAGAAAAACTCAACCAGATGTAATACATGTCAAAACATGGAATTTTCTATGCACATGAGTGAGCATGAGCTGAGCTGAAGGAATTTGCAACATACAAATTATACCCTACAGAAGTAGCAGCAAATGCAGGGTGGCTCCTGGTGCCGCAGTCACCAAAGTGCCTTAAGAACTTACTGGAGCCCCCCCCCATTAGAAAAAGATATAAAGATAAAACAGCAGTGCCCCGTGTGTAATGACAAGGTGGAATGGTAATTAGTTACTAATTAGAATTTTCTGAAATATTAGGAAAATCATCACAGGAAAATTCCATTCAATGCTGTATGTAAGTTAAAAATGCCCCAGGATAGCTATTTATTTCTGAAAACAGCAGCAGGTATGGGCACTGCAGTTGAGGTTAATTGACATTTCTATTACCTACTCAGTTTTTTTTTTTTTTTGAGACAGAGTCTCGCTTTGTTGCCCAGGCTAGAGTGAGTGCCGTGGCGTCCTGGCTCACAGCAACCTCAAACTCCTGGGCTCGAGTGATCCTTCTGCCTCAGCCTCCCGGGTAGCTGGGACTACAGGCATGCGCCACCATGCCCGGCTAATTTTTTATATATATATCAGTTGGCCAATTAATTTCTTTCTATTTATAGTAGAGACGGGGTCTCGCTCTTGCTCAGGCTGGTTTTGAACTCCTGACCTCGAGCAATCCGCCTGCCTCGACTTCCCAGAGTGCTAGGATTACAGTCGTGAGCCACCGCGCCCGGCCTTGAAAACCTCATTTGAATCAGCAAAAAATTAGAGAAGAAATCCAGAAGACAGCCAAATAGATATAGTCTAGACTTTAGCTACAAAATGCTGTAAGTCCCATATGTTGATTTAAGATTTGTATTTAATAAGATGCAATGTAGCTACTATGTACTGAGTCATTACTGGATAAAAAATAATGCCCAGTAGTTTCATCTGGGGGAGGAGAAACTTACATTTCTTCACATTCAGCTTGGGCTAGAGTGCTGTGTGGCGTCAGCCTAGCTCACAACAACCTCAAACTCCTGGGCTCAGGCAATCCTCCTGCCTTAGCCTGCTGAGTAGCTGGGACTACAGGTGTGCACCATCATGCCTGGCTAATTTTTCTATTTTTTGTAGAGATGGAGTCTTGCTATGTTGCCCAGGCTGGTCTCAAACTCCTGCCCTCAAGTGATCCTTGCACCTTGGCCTACCAAAGTGCTGAGATTACCAGCGTGAGCCAACATGCCTTGCTGATCCTGTATATACTGAACTATTTTGGGTCATTTGTATTTATACATAGGAACATAATTATTACCTTATTGTACCAACCCCAGTGTATTAGTTATCTATTGCTGTAACGAATTGCTCTAAAACTTAGTGGCTTACAAAACCAAAAATGTATGATCTCTCAGATTTTGTGGCCTCATCTGAAGACTATGCTGGGGCGGACCTACTTCCAAGCTCACTTACGTGGGATTCTCCCCAGGACGGACTCAACTTGGTGGCCGGCTCTCCCCAGAGTGAACCACTCAAGACAAAGCCAGAAAGAGCGTCTGAGACGCAACCTGGAGTCTTTCATAGCCTCAGCTCAGAAGTGACGCGCCATGTGCATTCGCCAGACGTTAATCAATGCTGCCCACCGTGAGGAGGAAGGGCATACGAAGGTACAAATGCCAGGGGCAGAGACTGTGAGGGGTCATCGCGGAGCCTGCCTGCCACACTGATCCGTCTGCGATGATGTTATGTAGGGGAAGCAGATAGTTGTTTCTCTCTCTCTTTTTTTTTTGGTCTGCGCACCATCTATTTGCGAAATGATGACTCCTTTGTCCTCCGTTTGTGTGGTTCTGGGAAGCCGGCAGCTCCTCTCACCCTGGCTCTTGGCGTTGGTGTGGTGGCCCTGGCAGGGCCACAGTGAGTGTTGAGGGATGCCCAATTGGAGTCCTTTTTCAGGAAGTGATATTGCTGCTGCGGGGGGAAAAAAGGGTCTCCTAAGAGCACAGGTGTTGTGGAACACAGAAAACTGGAATTTCTTACACATAGACCATCTTTGCTCCATGTGAAAAAAATCATACAATAGGCCTGGCGCGATTTAAGCCTAGCACTCTGGGAGGCCAAGACAGGAGCTCTTGATGTCAGGAGTTTGAGACCAGCTTGAGCAAGAGCAAGACCCCGTCTCTACTGAAAATAGAAATTAATTGGACAACTAAAAATATATATAGAAAAAATTAGCTGGGCATGGTGGTGCATGTCTGTAGTCCCAGCTACTCGGGAGGCTGAGGCAGGAGGATCGCTCGAGCCCAGGAGTGTGAGGTTGCTGTGAGCTAGGCTGACGCCAGGGCACTCACTCTAGCCTGGGCAACAGAGTGAGACTCTGTCTCAAAAAAGCCAAAAAAACAATCGTACAAGGAAAGCAGCACAGAGTGAACACAGCCAGAGATGGCGCCGCTGGGCCACAGCTACCAGTGTCGGCAGGATCCTCTTTGAGCCCTGTGCCCAGCTGCGCCTGAAGCCAGGCTGACCTTTTCCTTTCCTTTCCTTTTTTTTTTTTTTAAGTTAGTCTTCATTTTTGTTACTTGCAACAAAAGTGGTCCTGGCTAATAAATCCAGCTGTTAGGAATATAGCCCCAAATAGTTTCTCTTAACAAAACCATTACAGCATTCATTGTCTTTTATGAAATTATCTAAATATGTCGAGTGTGTTTATAATTTTCAGCCTTATCAGCTTAACGCCTGGAAAACTCAGCTCCATGTGTTTCCTATTGTGCGAACTATTTCCTTAAATTTACTTTCCTCAAGGCTCAGGAAACATCTCCTCACTCCACGAGTCCCCTGAGAGCAGGCGGAAACGCCTCCCGGAGGGCCACGGCGCCCCGCAACGTGTCGGGCGGCGGCTTCTCCCCACAGGACGCCCTCAGCAACTGTTTAACGAGCGAATGAGCGCGTGGAGCTTCGAAGTGTAATTTAGATGATCTTCCCCTTAGCATCTTATTTTTGCCCACGTGAAGACCAATTCAATACTTTCTGCCGGTTCACGCAGCCTCACACTAACTCGAGGCTATTCGCATGTACATGGGCTCTTTAGAAGCAGAAGAACTTAGTGGCACTGTGCCTTCCCACCTCTACACACTCCCTAACATATTACCGAAAACGGCGCGGGCATGCGGCGCCACACTCCTCCCTCCCGGAAGCGCCCTTCCCCCGCCCCTGCTTTCCGCCCTCAGCCGCCTCCCGGCGCCGCGCCCGGAACGTCCTTTGTGTGGGACTCTGTGAAAGGCTTTCTGAGACGTGAGTGGATGCCCCTCTGTGCGTCCTCGTCACACGCGCCTCCCAGCACAGCCGGTGAGCTGGCGAGCCCACTGCGTGCCTGGAGCCGGCTCCGCTCCCGCCTCCCCGCCCGCCGCGGCGTGGCGTGCGGCTGTCGGCGCGGCTGTCGGGAGAGTGCTCGGCCCTTCCCCGCCGACCCGGCCTTTAGTCCTTGTCATGTGTCGCAGGAAAAGGTGGGGTTAAGATCAACCAAATTAAACTGTCCTGAAAGAGACTAATAACTGTGGTTAAGTTAGCATGTTGAGGTCAGAAACAGGGAAGGACGGACTCAGGCTTGGTAAACGTGGGCCTAAAAAAGGAAGTAAGGTTAGAAATATAGGAAGTTAGTGGTTGCCGATCAAGTCAGGGATGTTTAGGTTCTTTAGGAATTGACACAGTTATTGATTTCCTTTTTCTTTATTTTATTTCATATATTTTAGAGATGGGGTCTCACTCTTTCACCCAGGCTGGAGTGCAGTGGTGTGATCATAGCTCACGGCCACCTCAAACTCCTGGGCTCAAGTGATCCTCCTGCCTCAGCCTCCCGAGTACAGGGACGATAGGTGCACTCCACCATGTTTTGCTAATTTTTCTACTTTTTGTAGAGACAGGATCTTGCTATATTGTCCAGGCTGATCTTGAACCTTCTGGCCACAAGTGATCCTCCTACCTCTGCCTCCCAAAGTGCTGGGATTACACACCGCACCCAGCCTGACTTCCCTTTTCTTTAAATTCTCCCTTCTTTTGATTTCCTCAACACTGTGCTCTCACCCTACCTTGGTGGACATTCCTTCTCAGATTCTTTTCCTGGATGCTCTTCTTTCTGTCTCTTTAATATGTTTTTATGTCAGGTTCCATCTTCGGCTTTATTTCTGACTCCTTGTATATGTTCTCTGTTGTCAGTTTCATATACTATAACCGATTTAAGTAGGGCCTATTGATGCATAGAATAAAAATGTGAATTTGGGGCACACATCTGTTCTCTGAGCTTCAGATAAGTCTATTCACCTGCCCAGTGGACATTTCCATATTGATATCCTACAGACTCCAAACTTAATGTGTCCAAAATCGAATGTATCATCTCTGTGCAAGTTAAGGCGTTTTTCATTTTATGTAACAAAAGCCTATATTTCATGGAATCTAATGGGAAGCTAAACAGCACAGGTATATAGCTATGCTCATAGACAACTGGAACCAGGACCTAGAAAACTCAATTTATTTCTCCAAATTATATATATCTACTTTCTTCTGTATGTCTGTTTCCTTTCTCCTTGTTGCAGACAGGTAATTTCTGCTTATGTCTGTCGTGGCAAACACAAAGACTTCCATGTTCCAGCTTCAGGCATCCAGAGCAAGACTGGCTTGATTCAAGCTGGTCCTAAACTCAAAATTCCAAGGAAGAAACTCCCTGGCCCAGCCATGGCCAAGGTGTCCACCCACAGATCAATCAACTTTGGCCTCAGATACAGTGTAAGCAACCCGAAGTTATTCCACAGCTCACTGACTGACACTCTGGTCATTTTGCTTCCAACCTTTTTCTCCCTGTTTCATTTCAGATAGTTTTTATTGCTACATATTCAACTTTACTACTCATCTCTTCTATATCATCTAACCTTCTGTCAATTCTATCCAACATATTTTTCACCACAGATATTGTATTTCATTTCTAGAAGTTCAGTTTGTAGAATCTTTCCTTTAGATTCTTAAAATATGGAATATAGTTATTGAAAGGGTGGAGACTTGCTAGGTGCTCACAGTGGGTTGGAGAAAGAATTCTCACACAGAGTTTAAAACAGAAAGAAGTATAAAGTTTATTTATTTTCCCAAGAAAGAAAAAGAGAGAGACGAGAAAGAGAGAGAGAGAGACAGACAGACAGACAGACAGACAGACAGACAGACAGACAGACAGACAGAGACAGAGAGAGGCCATGGCACACAGAAAGGAGTGAAAATGCTGGGCAGCTGAGGAGAAGCGGCTGGTGTTTTAAAGGGTAAAGATGGCTCCCCCCCACCTCTGCTTTAGCAGACTGATAACAGGAGCAGCTGCAGAACAGTGGTGGTTGCTTTTTCTATTTTTTTCCTTTTCTCTGTGAGGTCAGCTTATCTGAGTCCTTGGAATCTGGTTCTGGGAGGAACTGAGGCAGAGAGTTGGCGCAGGGAGTTCATACTCCTACTGTCTCCTTAGTGCTCTTTTGAGGCTGAGAAAATGAAGTCTTAGAGATAATGAGTTAGACCACAGGTGTTTTTTTTAGACAGAGTCTCGCTCTGTTGCCCAGGCTAGAGTGAGTGCCGTGGTGTCAGCCTAGCTCACAGCAACCTCAAACTCCTGGGCTCAAGTGATCCTCCTGCCTCAGCCTCCCAAGTAGCTGGGACTACAGGCATGCGCCACCATGCCCAGCTAATGTTTTCTATATATTTTTAGTTGTCCCGCTAATTTCTTTCTATTTTTAGTAGGGACGGGGTCTTGCTCTTGCTCAGGCTGGTCTCAAACTCCTGACCTCGAGTGATCGAGAGTAGTAGGATTACAGGTGTGAGCCACTGTGCCAGCTACAGGTGCTTTAATTAAACAAAACAGAGTAGTTGTGGTTTTTTTCAAAGGGGCAATTATGTGCTGTGAGTTTACTTCTCTGACTTTCTGTTTGATAGTTTATTTTCATGTGTTAGACAGGTTATTAGTAAGACCACCTTTCAGTTATAATAACTGGTTTTAATGTCTGTCTAATTTAATGTCTGTGTCATTTCTGGGTTCTATTGATTGACTTTTCTCATTATTATTGATCATATTTTTCCCACTTGTTTGTAGGTCTGGTGATTTTTTATTGGATGCTAGACATCATGAATTTTACCTTCTTAGGTGTTGGATAGTTTTGTTCCTATAAATATTTTTTGAGCTTTATTCTGGGAAATGGTTACATTACATGGAAATAGTTTAACCTTCTTAAAGATTTTTTAAAGCTTTATTAGGTAGGATAAGAGTAGCCTTTATTCTAGAGCTGACTTTGCCGCCCTACTGAGGCAGTGCTCTTCGAGTGCTCTACCTGATACCCTGTGAACTACAAGGCTTTTCATTCAAACATTACCCCTCTGCTCCAATCCAGAGGTTCTTCCTTGAGCCTTGAGTAGTTTCCCCACACTCATATGCTGGTCAGTTCTCAGCTGAAGAGTGGAGGAGCCCTCTGAAGATCTCTGGAGCTCTTTCTCCAAGAGCTCTCTCCCCTCCGGAACTCTGCCCTGCGAGCTCAAGGTGGCCTGCCTGGCTGCCCCGGGAAGCTCTCTCCGCAGTCAGCTCAGACCGCCACAGGACCCCGTTCCCTGTCGTCGGCTGCCTGGCGTGTGCTGTCTGAAATCTGTTGTTTCATAAGTTTTTTCTATTTTTTCAGCTGTTTAGATGGGAGAGTAAATCTAGTCCCTGTTAGTCCATCTCAGCCAGAAGCAGAAGTCCAGTTCAGTCTTTTGGAACTATTTGCAATTATCTAAATTCTAGGCTCTTGCATGTCTCTGTGCTTTTATGTCAGATTGAAATGTCTTTCTCTTCCATCCTGTCCACCTGGTGAAACTCAATTCCAGCGTTATCTCCTCCCAAACCTGCCCAGCACCCCATCCCCATGTTAGAACCCCTCCCCTGTGCTCCCTGGCATCATAACACAGAGCCTGCTTCCTCTCATTAAACTTTAAGCCCTTTTGTGCATAGATCATGGTTATTCACTGTTTAAATTTTTTTTTTTATTTTTACCTTCTTTTAAAGACAGTGTCTTGCTTTGTCACCCAGGCTGCAAAGGTATGATCACAGCTCACTGCAACTTCAAACTCCTGGGCTCAAGGGATCCT